CCCGGGCCCCTGCCCTGGAAGTGGCAGTTGACTTTGGGAGGAGGCCAAGGCTGGGTGGGGACCCCCCAGCACTCAGAGGGAAGTGATTGTATGTATTTATGTCAGAGGGTTGGCAGGGCCGGCCTGGGCGTGGAGAAACTTGGACAGAGAGAGAATGTCACCATTTTCACCATTTCGCTTGAACAACCTTGGGGAACGCCTCCCCCCCCGCCCCACCCCCCACCTCTCCAGGCTAGGCACATGCTAGCCAGGAGCCAAACCCACAGAGCCAGGTCTGGGGTCACCCCTTCTTGCGTCCCCTTGAGCAGAGCGTGGGGTTTGGTCCTTCACCGGTGCCCCTGAGGGTAGTATGGCCTGGGGCTCAGCCTTCTGCACAAGCGCGCACGCGCATGCACTCCTGTGGCTGGGTGCTGGGCTCAGCTGCCCTATACATGTGTCTTTGTGTCCGCGTGTGTGCATGTGCGCTCATGCTCTTGTGTAGCCAGATTCAAGCTCAGCTGCCACGTGTATGTGTATGTGTGTATGGCCAGGTGCTGGTCTCAGCTTTCCCTGTGTGTGCCTTGACTGTGCATGTGTCCGTGTGACCAGGTGCTGAGCTCAGCTGCCACGTGTGTGTGTGTGTGTGTGTGTGTGTGTGTGTGTACGTGTGTGTGGCCGGGTCCTGGGCTCAGCCGCCCTGTGTGTGTTTGTGTATAGTGTGTGTGTGTGTGTGTGTGTGTGTGTACGTGGTGTGGGCTCAGCCGCCCTGTGCGCGTGCCCACAGGGTGGTGATCATGAGCTCCATCCTGGAGCACATGTGCGCCGACGTGCTGCAGCAGACGGCCACACAGATCAAGTTCCTGTCACCCGGCATGGACAGCATGCCCTACTGGAACCCGCTGCCCCCGCGGCGGCCCATCCGCGAGGTGCTTAGCGGCGTGTTCGCCCGCGTGCTGGAGAAGGGCTGGGTGGACAGCCGCGCCATCCACGTCTTCGATGCCCTGCTGCACATGGGCGGCGCCTACTGGTTCTGCAACAACCTCGTCAAGGTACTGGGCGGGGCTCCCCCAGAAGCACCCAGCGGGAGCTGGGAGAAGGGCAGGGGTCAGCCGTCCGTTCCCACCTGCCCCCCAGGAGCTGCTGAAGGAGACCCGCAAGGAGCACACGCTGCGGGCTGTGGAGCTGCTCTTCTCTATCTTCTGCCTGGACATGCCGCAGGTCACCCTGGTCCTGCTGGGCCACATCCTGCCTGGCCTGCTCACTGACTCAGCCAAGTGGAACAGCCTCATGGACCCGCCCGGCACAGCCCTGGCCAAGTAGGCGCATCCCCACGGGTGGGACCCTCAGTCACCCCCTGCTGACCCCCGCCCTGGGCCTGCTGTATGTGTGTGTGTGTGTGTGTGTGTGCGCGCGCACTCGTGCGCGCCCTGGGACCCTTGGTTACCCCCTGCTGGCTCCACCCTAGGCTCGCTGTCTGGTGCGCCCTGAGCTCCTACTCCTCCCACAAGGGACAGGCGTCCTCCCGCCAGAAGAAGAGGCACCGCGAGGACATCGAGGTGGGGACCCTGGGCCGCCATGTGCCCTGAGGGGCACCGAGACATTTCTGGGCCGAGGCAGAGGGAACTGGCACCCAGGGTTGGTGCCGGGGATAAGTGAGCATCCAGGACCTCAGGGGGCCAAGGGGTAACAAGGACATCCACTGCCCTGCAGGACTACACCAGCCTTTTCCCGGTGGACGACGTGCAGCCATCCAAGCTGATGCGTCTGCTGAGCTCCAATGACGAAGACCCCAACCTCCTGTCCAGCCCCAGTGAGTGGACAGTGCCCAGCCCCCAGAGGCTGCGAGGAAGGAGTTTTAGGTCTCAGCCCCAGGGCCGGGGCCTCTCTCCAGACCCCTGCCCTGTCCCTCCCTGCGTTAGTCATGCCGGCCTCGCTCAGGCTGACTCACGCTGATCTTACCCCATACCCAGCCCAGGGGGGCCTGGTCTCCCCGGCCCCCGACTTCCTGGATGCCCGTCACTTCCCTCTCCTCCTTTCCCAGCTTCCCTGGGGCATCCCGTTTCTCGTGTGCTGAGTGCTCCTGAGTCTGGAAGTTCCTCGGAGACCTTTTGAGGGTCTCGGGAATGAGCCGAGCACTGAGCAGCACAGCGGGGCTCAGCCTCTGCCTGCCTTGTGGGGGGCCTCTGCAGGTGTTGGGAGGCCTGGGAGCTGGCTCTGAGGCTGAGCATGTGCTGGGCATGTGGGAACCACTCGGTTCCAGGAGCGGCCGTCTAGCTGGCCGTCTTGCTGGACATAGCCTCAGCACTGTCCCGTGTGGCCCAGAAGCCAAAGTAAATAACATTGTAGGGTGGAGAGAGATGGACAGGCTAGGCTGGGCACAGGCTTTGTTCACAGGAGGCTGAGTTCAACCCCCGGCACCACGTGGTCCCCCAGCACTGCCAGTAGTGACCCCCTGCCCTCCTAGCCCCCGGGCAGCTCTGAGCTGAGAGTGACCCTGAAACCAAACAAATGGAGAGATGTTGGGGCGACCTAGTGGTAAAAGGCACACACAGCTGGTGCCTGCATTGCACCCCGGGAGTGGGTTCCCTCCCTCCTCTTTGGGGGTCCCTCTGTGCCACTGTGGGGGTTACCGACACTTGGCTCAGTGTCTCCCTATTGGCTCACAGCCGAGCGTCCCATGAACAGCTCCTTGTCCGCCTCCCAGCTGCACACAGTGAACATGCGGGACCCGCTGAACCGTGTCCTGGGTGAGCCCCCCGCCCCACTCCTGCCTGGGGACCCCTCGACATGGTGGGGGGCGAGGTCTGACTTGGCAGCTCCCCACCCCTCTGTTTCCCCGCGCCCCACCTCCGAGCTCCTCCCACCTCTGTCCCGGCACAGCCAACCTGTTCCTGCTGCTCTCATCCACCCTGGGCGCGCGCACAGCCGGCCCGCACACACAGTTTGCGCGCTGGTTCCTGGAGGAGTGTGTGGAGTGCCTGGAGCAGGGCGGCCGCGGCAGCATCCTGCAGTTCATGCCCTTCACCACGGTGAGTCGGGCGGGAACGCCACCCCCCACCCCACCCTGCCCCGCACACCCCAACCTGTGTGTCTGTGTCTGCCCACCGCAGGTGTCCGAGTTGGTGAAGGTGTCGGCCATGTCCAGCCCCAAGGTGGTCCTGGCCATCACGGACCTCAGTCTGCCCCTGGGCCGCCAGGTGGCTGCCAAGGCCATTGCTGCCCTCTGAGGGCCTGGGACGGGGGTGCCTGGGAGGGGGTCCCAGCCCCCGGCCCCTCAGCAGGGAACGCGAAGCTGTCCTTGCTAGGCTGCGTGTCAGAGCCGGGTCAGCTTCCCGGGCCTCCCTGCACCTGGCCTCTGCCGGCTCTTGGCCTCACCCCCCTTTCTTGCGTGATTTCCCCGTGCAGCCCCTCCTGAGGGTTGGGCACCCCGGGGCCGGGAGAGATTCTCTATTTTTGTACCATGGGAGAAAAGCTCCCCTTCGCACACTTGTGCAAATAAAGAGCCTCGTGCGTCTGGGTCTGTCTCTGACTTGGAGTGGGCCAGGGGGACCCTCAGGCAGGCCCAATGGCTCAGTGCTGGGGTGGAGGTGTGGATGCAGTGGTGCGGGGGGTGGGGGTGGGGTCGGGTCTTTAGGTGGGTCAGGCCAGCTGCCTCCCTGAGCGTCTCCCCAGCCCAGCTCGCAGATCTCTCATGCCCAGAGCTGTGCTGTGTCTGGCTGGGCTGCTGGGACGAGGCCGAGGAGGGGCCGGTGGGGGCAGGAAAGGGGTGCCTCCTGTCCCCCAGGATGGTCTGCTGAGAAGGGGCCCAGGGGACAAGCCAGCTGGACTGCAAACTGGAAGCGGCACTGGCTAAGGCTGCCCAGAGCGGGCAGGAAGTCCTGTTCTGACCAGACCCCACCCAGAAAGGGGCTGGCGAGAGGGGGGAACTTGACTGGGCTCCGCCTGCCCGTATTTCTCATCCAGGAGCCCGGGAGGGCCAGGGAAGGGCAAGGGGGAGCACAGGGCCGGGAGGGTGGTGTGAGCGGCCCCTACGCGAGATCACGTGTCCCCAAGAGGACACCCAGCCCTGGCCTCCTCCTCGGTCTCAGGCATATCCAGGCGGCCCCCTCTGTGGGCCTCCGGGGGAGTGGGGTGCTGTGCCACGCCCAGTACTTGGGGGTCAGGCCTGTCGCCATCCGTTACCTCTGCTGGGGCTCCCCCGAGCAGGGACCCACCATTGCTTCACTCAGACATGGAAACAAGTCAAAGGAAGGGGGTCAGGAGGGCACCCCTCCCTCCCCATGCCTCCCTCGGCCTCCCCCATTGTGCCCCAGCTGGACGCAAGAAGGAAGGACAGTTTGGACTCGCGCACTTTATTACCCTGACACTCAGTCACAGTTAAGACAGTGGGTGCAGGGGACAGAGGTGACTTCCCTCCCACGTGGGGCGGGGGAGGCGGCCAGTGATCTGGGCCTGTCTTCTTGGTGTGGGTGCTGGAGCCCATGGCCAGGACGTGGCGCAAAGGTAGAGCACGTGCGTTACATGTGAGAGAATCCAACTTCCCTCCCCGGTACCCACAAACCAAAAAAGTCTTAGGAAAATTAGATGCCCCAGCAAACTGGGACCCCAGGGTCAAGTCTCCTGGCTCTGCCCCCCCCACCCCACTGGGCTTACTGGCCCCTGGGCCCCCAGCTGAGTGGGAGGCCAGAGCCGGGAGTCCAGGACCCATCGGGCGACACTGGTGTTTAAATATTAAACAGGGCTGTGCGTCTCCCACACTTGTGGGAGATCTCGACGCTTCCAAGGGCCCCACACGGGTACCCTCAAGGTTGGGGTTCACTGTGCTGCTGCTTCCCATGGCCCATTGGAGCCAGGCGGGGAGTAGCCACAGGAGCAAATACTCGGTATTTACCTAAATGCCCCCCAGTCCGGCAGAGGGGGCATGGGTGCTTCCTCTCTGCAGCAGGCAGGAGGAAGGACTTAAATAGGTTTAAATATGCATAAATATTAAATAGAGATAAATAGGCGGGCCGGGTGGGGGCTCAGGGCTGGGTCAGGCCTCGAAGCAGCCTGGACGCCTGTTCCAGGAAGGTCTGCAGGCTGGAGGCCACCAGGACGCCCCCTGCTCGGCGCTGGAAGGCGGAGGTGAAGGTCGGCATGGGGCCCGGTGCAGGCTGCATGCTTGGGGCCACCCCCATGTCCTCCATCTGTTGGGGGGAGATGAGGTCAGTGATGGGGCCTTGGGGAAGGAACCCAGGGTGAGGGGGGCTCGACTCCAACACCATCTTCAAGGTCTGGGCACCCGCGTCTGCCCTTCAGCAGGTGCCGGAGCCCCTGCCATCCTGCACCCCAGGATGCCTCCCATGACCCTGCAGAGTGTCTGGATGTGGGCCTGGAGGCCCGAGGGGGCGCCCCTACACTCACCTGCCGCCACACGTTGGTGGCAAAGTCGGCGACATCCAGTTGCAGCAGATCCACAGTGGGCTCCAGCTCAGGGGTGATGCCCGCCAGGGCCTGCAGGAGGCCCTGGTAGAGGAAGAGTCCTCTGTGCAGGGGGCCCAGGCAGCTCGTCTAGGAGGACCGAGGAGAAGATGAGGGGTGCTGTCAGGGCTGTGCGCTCATGGCCAGTGTGAACCTCCCGACCCTCCCCTGCACCCCCTGACCCCCCCCGCCACACACACACACACACACACACACACACACACACACACACTCACCAGCTGCAGGGCCTTGTTGGAGCAGCTGCTCGGCCGAGCCCGGGGGATACCCAGAGAGTGTCCTAGCAGCACCAGCTCCTCAGGGTGGCATAGCTGGTAGGAGGCACACTGCGGGGGGTGGGGGGAGGATGCCCAGTGAGGGATGCCTCTGCCTCTGGACCCCCATTTCTGGAGGCCATGCCCACCCCTCCTCGCTTTGCCTGGCTCTGGCTGGGGGCTCCTTCACTCACCAGCTTCTCCTGCAGTTCCCAGCTCTGGGCCTGGATCTTCCTCACTTGCTCCAGGCACTGGAGCAGGAAACGGTGGGGCAGGGCTGGAACGGGGGCCTGGGCCGCTGTGGCTTCTCGAAGCCACCACAGGGTGCTCCAGCAGAGCAGGACTGGGAGGGACACTGAAGGTCACACACTGTCCCTCCCTCCCCCGCCCCCTGCCCACCTCCCCACCAGGGCTGGCCCATGGCAGAGGGTTGAGAGGAATGCTCACCTGTTAGCTTCATGAGGCTTCGGGGGCAGGCTTGGCTGAGGGGCTGGGGTGCAGGCGGCTGGTGGCTCCTTGGCCGAGGGGCTGGGGTGCGGATGGCTGGTGGCTCCTTGGTCGAGGGACTGGGGTGCAGGCAGCTGGCTCTTTGGTCGAGGGGCTGGGGTGCGGGCAGCTGACTTGTGCTCTGGCAGGACCAGCTCAGCTCTGGGGGCCTTTATACTCAACCCATGGAGGTCTGGGAGGAAATTACCTGGAGCAGGGACTGAGGCTTAGTAATAACTTCCCAGGATTTATGCAAATTTGGTGTCCAGGACAATGCAGGGGGGCGGGGGGGGGGGCGATGATAATCTGTTTGCGAAAGTTTTGTGAAATTGTGGAATCTCTGAGCTTTCCTTGACGGCTCGCCCCTCTCACAGCTCCCTTCCTCCTCCAAACCCCAGCCCAGCCTGAATTGCCCTGGGGGTGTTTGAACAGAAACCTGCCGAGAGGGTGCTCCAGGGAGCCAGGCTCAGCAGCCAGGCAGGCCTCCCCAACCCCGCCCCACCTCCCCCCGGGGGCCATCTGCTGGGTGCCCCCTTTGTCACACGGCTCGCAGCCACATTGCCCCACTGGGTCTGGAGATTGGAGAAAGACAGTCTGGTCCCGATCATCTCCCCGCTTCCTGTCAGCTCCCAGAGGCTGCCCAAGCTGGTCCCCCGTGGAGGCACTTTGGGGTCCTGCCCTTGTCTCCTCCCGGACGCTGAGGCGCAGGGTCAGCTTCCAGGAGCTCTGTCCTGTGCAGTTAGCTGGGAACTCCCCGAGCAGAGCTGTGACTCATTCCGCTAAACCCATTCGCTCCCCGAGGCCAGGAAGCCGGATGTCTGCCCTGAGTGAGCAAGGCCCCTCCAGGCTCACTTCACCTGCCCTTCCTCCCCATCCCGCTCCCCCTCCCTGCTCTGCCCTCCCGCCACAGCACCCGGACTCAGGGCAGGGGTGTTGGCCCCGGGTCCTCTGCCAGTGTGGCGCGGGGGCGGCAGGAGAAAGTGTGGGGCACATGACTCTTCCAGCCAAGCCTGGGTCCCTGGACCTCTTCCCACCGTGTTCATCAGACAGGGCAGGGCCCGGCAAGGTCACGAGCAGGGTCAGTCATAGCCCCAGTCTCCGCCTCAGGCCTATGCTAGGAGCGGCTCACGAACCGGGGGGGCCTGCCCAGGGCAGTCTGGAGGGCCACACCCAAGGCTGTCCAGGTTTCTCCCCAGGTTCCCCCCTAAGAAGTGGTGGTGGGGGTCGGGTGTAAGCCTCTAGCTTCACACCCAGGGTGTGGCTGGTCAGGCTAGACCATCGCTGGGGCTGGGGTGCCTCCTGGTGGCCACAGCTGGCATGGCCTCCTTGAAGGGATCATATCAGGCCAGTCTCAGTCCTCCAGCCTCATTGGATCCCTGCTCCAGCCCCAGACAGGGATGGATCCTGGATCTGGACCCAGCTCTGTAGGAGTCGAGGGGTGGACCTAGCGGAACCGTGGGAGAAAGCAAAGTCTATTTGCAAACAAGCCCCCTCCAAGGATTATTGTTACAAATACATGATTGACAAGGCGGGAGAGAGAACACTCGGTGGGCGCTTACCTTGCTCGCAGCCAACACGGCTTCCATCCTGTCACCATGTGTGGTCCCCCAGGCACCGCCAAGAGTGAGCCCCAAAACAAATCAAGAAAACCCCATACAAACACATGATTGTGTTCCCTTCCAGAAGCCCAGATCTGAGGAAGGTGCTCGAACTGTTTCCCCTTTCCAGACAAGGACTCTGGAGACCAGAATGGGTAGGGCATTTGCTTTGCAAACAGGGTTCACCTGGGTTTAATCCCTGACCTTTCATATGGTCCCCGGAGCACCACCAGGAGTAATTCCCGAGTGCAGAGCCAGGAGTAACCCCTGAGCATCGCTGGGTGTGACCCAAAATTAAAAACAAAACAGAGGAAGACTGACCCCCAGGACATGTGGCCACTTCCCAAGGAGAAGAACCCGGGTCTGCCCAGGTCAAAGTTTAAAATGCTTTTATTTTTATGTTTTAATTTTACATACTTTGTTTTTTGGGCCACAGCTGGCGGTGCTCAGGGCTGACTCCTGGCTCTGTGCTTAGGCTCTGTACTCTGGGCAGGACTCGGGGGGACCAGCTGAGGATGGAGCCCACCTTGCCCGGCAAGCGTCCCTACCCACTGTCCTATCTTTCTGGTCCCCCAATGCCTTATTTGCTGTTGTTTTGGTTTTGGGTCATACCCTGCAGTGCCCCGAGTTTACTGGTGCCTCAGGAATCACTCCTTGTGGAACTATATGTGGTGCTGGGGATGAAATACCTGCTCTGATATCTCTCTGGCCTCACCTTTTTTTTTTTTTTTTTTGGCTCTTTGAGTCACACCGGCAATGCTCAGGGGTTACTCCTGGCTCTGCACTCCGAGGAATCACTCCTGGAGATGCTCGGGGGACCACATGGCATGCCGGGACTGAACCCAAGTCGGCCTTGTGCAAGGCAAATGCTGTGCTATCGCACTAGCCCTCCACTTTCGTTTTCAAGTCCCTCCCCTTGTGGCTGACTGTGGTGTCTGAGCATCTGTGTTTGGTTGTGGGGCAGCCCGCACTGGGCTGCAGGTGCTGGCCATCACAGGGTGAACCCCCCCCCCCCCCGCCCCATCAGGCTGCTCAGCACAGCTGGGCAGTGCCAGGCCTGGACAGCCCAGGTGCTCTGCCACGGGACAATCGCTCTGCCTGAGCCTGAAACTCTTCTTTTCCAGGAACAGACACACAGCCCTACTCTGGGGACCACGAGTGCCAGGCTTGAACCCAACCCTCCTGCAGGCAGAGCATGCGTTCCTGTCCTTCCAGCTACCTCCTGGGCCCTGGGAAGGACTTGTAGGTGGCCAGAGAGGAGAATGTCAGAGTGGGTGGCTGCCAGAGGGAGTGACCGTCTGTCCAGGGAAGGTGCTGGCATCTGTCTCATAGGAAGCAAACGCAAAACTTGGCTTGACCTGGTGTGTCGGGCCCCTTCCATGCCACTTTGTCTTTTCCACTACGTGTCCCATGTGGCTCCTGCCACAAACCAAGGGACTTTCTCAGGATCTGAGAACTAGCTGGGGGTGGAGAGGCTCTGTAATGGGGCAGCCTGTACAGGAGGGGCTCCTCAGAGGTAGGCTCCCCGCTGTGACCCCTCTTCTCCATCCCCCAAAGGCCTGTCCTGGAACTTCCTGCTTTCATCTGGAACATCCTTTCATCTGGAAGGATGAGGGAGGTGGGGACTCATTTGCTGCTGACTTGGCCTGTGGGCCAAGACATGGACCATGAGCCAAGAGTGGGTTTTACAGTTTCAGATGATTGGGAGGGAAAATCAAGACTTTCATAACATGTGAAAACTGTATGGAATGCAACCCCCTCTTCGTAATTTGCTTACACGAGGCTGCTGAGCGCCACTTTCATTCTGGGAAGGCAGAGATGCGTGGCTCTGCCTGACCTCAGGGCTCCCGAGCAGAAGAAACGGGCCCGTGGGACGGGCACGTCTGGGAAGACATGCCCAGAGATGCCCTCCACTAAGTAAAGCAGTGTCTAGAAACAAAGGCGGGGCCCATCACACTGGCTGTGGGCTCTGCACAGGCCTTGCTGGAGCCGAACCCCAGAATGGAAACCCCACGAGGAAAGTCATTTGTTTTTGGGGCCACATCCAGTGGTGCTCAGGGTTTACTCCAGGCTCTTCCCTCAGGGATCACCTCTGTTGGAGCTTGGAGGACCCTCTGGGGTACCAGACACCAAACCTGGGTCACTTGCCAGCTTGAAAAGTTTTTTTCTATTGTACTGTTCACAGGTGCTGTGTAGACTGGACTAGGACTACTAGCAAGGGAACTGGAGGTGTGTTATAATCCTGTGATGCATCGTTAGCAGTTAAAAATGCAAAGGGACTGGAGTGACAGTACAGTGGCTAAGGCGTTTGTGGCCTTGGCATGTGGCCAACCTGGGTTTGATTCCTGGCACCCCATGTGGTTCCGAGCCAGGAATAAGCTCTAAGCTTATTCTGCCAGGTGTAGCCCCAAACCAACAGAAACCTCAAAATAATTCAATTTTTTTCTTTGGCGTGGGGCCTAATATCTGGCAGTGCTCAGGAGTGACCTCTGGTGCTGCTCAGGGGGACCCTATGTGGCGCTGGGCATTCAGACCAGGATTACCAAGAGCAAATCAAGGGCTGTAGCCCGTACTCTCTCTCTCTGTGGCCTGCAATACTGCTTTTTGTGGTGTAAGTAGGACATAAACTGGAGGGCTGAGGCTGTGGCTCACTGGCAGAGGCCAAGTTCCACCCCAGGCACCAAAACAAAAGCACAGAACTGGAGCGAAGACTGCCTGGTTCTCTGATGCGCACGCTCTCATCACACACACGCTCACACGTGCTCTCACATGCTCTCGCTCGCACATGCTTACTCTCTTGACTCTCACACTCAGGCATTCTCGCTCACACATTTGCAGTATCACTCGCTCTCTTGCAATCTCATTCTCACTCTTCACTCTCTTACATACACAGCCTCATACACCTGCTTTTACACCCATTCTCACTCACTCTCCACTCAGATTCAGATTCTCACACACAGCGTCACACTTGTTTTTACTCATTCTCACTCTGCCCTCTTCACTCATACCCTCATTCTCTCACACACAGCGTCACACTTGCTTTCCCTCTCACTCTCACACTCCCTCATAGGCTCTCTGACCGAACTTGACACAGGCACACAGTGTGGACAGTCATGGAGCTGCAAGTGCCTGTCTACCTGTCCCCTCCCCTCTGTAGTTTCAATGAAAGCAGCTGCTCGTGGGAACAGGGAGTCGGGTGGAAGTCACACTGGGCGCTGCAGGAAGACGGCTGAGGGGGGGTCGAGTACAAGCAACACCCAGACAGTGAGCACATGACTCAGGGAACAAGCGAGCAGGAATGGCACAAAACCAAACCACAGCAGCAAGTCTGAACCTCTGGGGCTGGGACGTGGCTCCCAGGGCAGAGGACCCTAGATCCACTGCTGGGAGCCCTCCATCCCTTCCAAAAACACAAAATGAGACCCTCCTAGGAGGGCATCAATTACCCAGAGTGAAGCAGGAGCGCCTCAGGTAACCATAGTGGCCACAAGGGTACCTGTCCGCACCTCTCTGAGAGCAGGGGTGCTGTTATGGGGTCAGGGTGGAGACTACCCTCAAGGCCCAGCTCCATCCCAGGAATCAGAAACCAAGACTCCGACATTCCCCACAAATACAGAGATAGGAGCTGGAGGTAAGACAACTTTACCACGCGAGCCTGCGTGGGCGGGTGATGGGGGTAGCACCCCTCAGCAGGAAGGGTCACCCACAGGCCTCCCTCCCTGGAACACCTAGGCCCAGGGGAACTCGCACATGGGCTGGGTCAGGAAAGACTCGAGAGGGATGAGGGGCCCCGTAATTGTCACTGAGGCTGTAGCAGGCACGTCCTTCTCTCCTTTGACCCTACTACGACACCCCCAGTCTCGGGTGGGTGGGGATCACACCAAGAGGCGCCTCACAAACTTCCGGGCCTGTTCCGGCTGTGGTGAGTCAAGTGTAGTGAGAGGCGAAGCCACAAGGAACTTTGGAGAACTTTTTATTGTTTAAAAATCATAATTGAAGCTTCAAAAAACATACACCCCAATGCATGTCCCAGTTCAGTCCCTCCTCCCCGCGGGAGCGCGGGGTCCCATCCTCCAGCCCACGCTGGCCAGGACCCTGCCCTGGAGGCCCTCCCCGTCCTCCTCCTGCCCACCGCGCATGAAGCTGCCGGCTGGGGCGCGGTCCTGGGGCAGGATGGGGCGGCTGGTCCCTGCACCCGCACCCCCCACCCCGCACGGGTGCAGTCTGTGAGCCGTGTGTGGGAAGAGGAGCGGGTGCCCTGGGCAGGGGCGCCCCGGGGACAGACAGCACCTGTCCCCACTCACCCCCGCCTTCCCCAGCCCCCCGGCTCAGGGGAAGCTGTCATCATCATCTTCCGCCATCTCCTTGGCGAACTCCAGGTCCTGCTGCTCCCGCTCCCGCCGTTCCTGCGGGGACAGCACAGCCGTGCTCAGAGCCCTGCTGGGCTTCAGGGCCGCACCTGCAGGAACCCCCCCAACCCAGCTCTGGCCCCTGTTTTAAAGATGGGCCCCACAGGCTGAGCGGTGCTTCCAGTGACCAGGCTACACCTGAGGCTGGGGTGAGCCACCACCTTGCACACAGACGTGTGCTCGGCCCCTGGGACACTCACCCTGACCCATTCCCTTTATTATTCCTTTCCTTTGGCTTTGGGACCACACCCAGTTGTGCGTGGTGGTCACTCCTGGTGGCATCAGGGATCAAATCTGGGTCTCCCACATGTAAATGCATGCTCAGTCTGCTGGGCATCCCTCTGGCCCTCCACGAATCAAAGCATGGCCTGGCACATGACCCCACCACTAGCCTCAGCCTCAGTGGCAATCCCCGCTCCGCTGCCCCCTGCCCGTTTTTGGCCACTTACCTCCGCTGACTCCAAGTCCTTGTTGTAGGATTTGGGAGGAAACCTCATGGCCTGTGGCAGGGGGGAGGAAGGAGGTGAAGAGGCCGCAGGCACCCAGGGAGGCCGTGTTACTGACCCTGCCTGAGGAGGAGCTGCTTCGGGGTTCCACCTAACTTTGGGGACAGAGCCCACCAGTCTGGGAGTCACCAGTGAGGGGACCGGGCCTGAGTCCAGGGGGGCAGCGTTTGGTGGTGGAAGTCGGGCTATAGTCTCTAATGCCCATCATGGGGTCCTCACGTGCAGTGGCTACAGCTTGTTATCCCAGGAAGGTCAGGAAGCAGTAGAGAACGTGCAGGAGTCGAGACACAGCCCTCTCCCCGCAGCTACGCCAGGGCCCTCATTTACGGCCCCCCCACCCCCCTCCCCCTCAGCTCCACACACAGAAGGGAAGAGGCTGGTCTCTTTCTGTTTGGATTTGGTCACTCCTGGCGGTGTTTTGGGGGGGTTGTATGTGGCGCTGGGGATCCGGGATCAGAGTGGGCGAGGTAGATGCCCTAAGCCCCCCATCTGCCCCTCCATCGAGGCTCGGGAGAGCCAGGGCCAGGCGCGAGAGCCCACCTTGACAGACATGTTGTGGATGTCCAGGCAGAAGGAGATGCGCTGGTGGAAGGCCAGCTGCGGCTCCCGCGTGGAGTAGATGTCCGTCATCTCCTTGGACTGCACGTAGCCCTTCTCGTGGTTGATGCTGGCCTCGATGACGCCGTCGCGGATGGCCTGCGCCCCGCCGAGAGCTCAGCGGCCAGCCCCCCGCCCCCCCCCCCCCCGCCCATCCTCCCTCCCTCCCTGGCAGCTTCCTGGGAAGGGACCCCCACCCCTGCGCCTGCCCACCTTAGCGACGATGAACTCGGCATCCTCTGGGCTGTCCAGCTGCAGCTTCTGGGCAATGTCAGCCAGGGAGATCCGGGAGTAGGAGAGGCTGATCATGCGCACACCTGTGAGAAGGACGAGTCGGGGCTGACGCTGATGCCAGGGTTCGGTTTGTTCTGGGTCACATCTAGTGGTGCTCAGGGCTGACTCCCGGCAGGGCCTGGGATGGAACATAACCCCCCATTCCCCCTACCTGTCTTGATGACGTTGTGTCGCAGTCGGATGATGAGGGTGTAGGTCCCGTCTGCCTGGAACTTCTCCCCAAACTGATCCAGGACCTGGTTGAACTTGGCGAGGTTTCCCGTCCTGACGGCTGCAGGGGGGGAGCAGAAGTCAGGGGCCTGCCCACCTCTGGACGCCACGCGGGAAGCGGCAGTGGCAGGGCCTTACCTTGGGTCAGAAGGAAGTAGGGCATGAGCGAGCGCTTGAGGGACGGCTGCCGGAACTGCAGCCGGTCAGGGATCTCGCCCAGCAGCAGCTCCACCACGATGAGCAGCTTGTGCACCTGCAGTGGGCGGGAGCTGATGGGACTCGGGCAGAGGCACCACAGAGGCAGGTAGCACAGGGCGGGGTATGTGGGGGGCAAACAGGCTGTCCCCCGACCCAAGCAAGAACTCTGCAGCCTACCAGACCCACCCCGGAGTGCGAGGCTGAGTGGCGTCCATGGACCTCGGGGATCCTGACCCGCAGGGAGGGAAGGAGTCTGGGCACACCCAGGAGGTGTGGGCAGCCCGGAGACGGCTTCGCATGGAAGGGGGACGGGACGTGAGGCTGGGAGCTTCTCCTGGCTCAGTGCTCAGGGGCCACTCCTGGCAGTGGCAGGAGGACCTCACAGTCCTGCAGGCTTGACCCGAGTTCCCCACAGACAAAGTCGATGGCCCTGACCCCTCATGCTTGAGTCTGTTCCTGAGTACAACAACCCAGAGCTTGGCATTCTGGGCCCTGAAATGGGTATCACCAAAGTCCGGCTCTGCCTCTGCACATGCACAGGGCAGCCCTGTGAGCACTGTTCATGGAGGCAGGTGTGTGGCCATGAGGATGGATCAGCAATGGTCATGGCACGAATGAAGGTGTGGACAGTATCAGAAAGGTGTAGGTACCAAGAACGTGGGGGGAAAATCACAGGTGAGTGAGCGAACGGGTAGGGATATGCTGGGCAAGCCCGGGGTGCCCATCGGGGCTGGCACCGGCCCTATCCTTCTCCAGTATCGTGGCACAAGCCGTGACTTCCAAACTCACACAGGGAAGCCCCAACCTGTCCGAGTATCTCAGGGCAGGACAGTGTTAGGGACACGTCAAGGGAAGGGAGCAAACGGAGGCCACCTCACACAGAAGGAGGGTCCCTGCGAGCCACGTCCATAGGCCCCAAGCTGACAGGGACAGATGTCCAGCCCTCGGGGCAAGGCTGAATGCACACTCACCTCTGCAGCCACTGAGGGGCCTGGGGAGATGGCCAGCTGGTAGCGCTGACCGTGAGGTTAGGAAATATGGGAGGCCAGACCAGGAGGCTGAGTGCACCTCAGATGGCTCTGCTGAGAATCCCTTACTGTGAGACCTGAACCCGTTCTCTGGCCCCTCATCACCTTCTCTAGCCATAGTTTGTTTATTTTTATTGAGAGTGTCTGCGTAATTATGGGCCCACAGCTGCTGGTGCTTAAGTGGGACCCTGAAGTGTCGGGACAGCACCCAGGGCCTTGGCCCAGGTCAGGTGTATGTCTAAGGGGAGCACCTAAAGTGCTTGCCTTACAGTGACCAGGTCCCTGGTCCCTCCATAAGGTCCCCCATGCCCCCACCAGGAAGTAAGCCCTGAGCACCACTGGGTTTGGCCCCCAAACAGAAATCCCTTCTCTTATTTGTCTCTGTCTCATGGTATCTAACACCAAGGTCATCCCAGAGATGGCTCACAGGGCACTGAGTCTTGGGCTGTCTGGGTCTGACACCCAGCTCCGGTCCCCTAAACACTGCCACGACTCCTAAACAAGTGTAAACCAAAACCCCCCAAAACCATCGGGGACTGACAGCAGCTTAACTCCCCTGGCTGTTAGTCTCCTGGGGAGTTTCTGGGTTGCCCAATGGCCATGTGAGGGTCTATGGACGGGCCTGGGCTTTATCAACCCGATCCAGTTCCGTACTTGGGGTAATGTCAGGAGATATTTAGGGGAATCGGGGGGCAGAGGGCACATGTTAGAGCTGTGGGTGGCAGCTGTCCACACTGAGACCTGGTACACAGGCTCTGCCATCCCCTTTGCATGGCCCGGAGAGGCTCCTGGCCTCTGGGCTGGGCACAGAAGCGGGGGTCCCTGCCACTCACCGTCTGTTTGAAGCCCACAGCCGTATGCTGCGGCGCCTTGCGGAGGGCATTGGTCATCGTTCGCCGGGCCTCCGAGTACTCTAACTGGATGGCTTTGATTCGCCCTGTGAGGGGAAGGGACCGTGATCAAGGCGAGGGGCGCCTGAGGGGGTGCCCAGCAGGCCTGCCCCATGCCGGCTGCTCACCGGTGTAGTACAGGTACCGGGCCCACTCGTTGTTGTTGGCCTGCTCGGGGAACACGGACTTGGACACCAGCTTCTCGGCCTGGTCGTACAGGCTGTAGTGCAGGTAGTTCCGGAGCAGCAGGTTCAGCAGGGTGGCCTGGCCGTCGGCGTCGTGCCGCAGTGTGGCTGTCCGGAGCCGGGCATGCAAGAAGCTTCGAGAAGGAGAGAGGTTAGAGGCGCCACCAGTCACCTCTCACGGGGCAGCCTCTGACCCGCCACCCTTGATCCTCCGAAACAGCAGCCGTCTGGTCAGTCACGGTCCACACGCAGAAGCGTCGTGCTGGGGACACGAGACCCCTCGGGTTCTGGGGAGGAGGCAGGCAAGGACTGTGATACCGGCTGAGATGGGGGGTGAGGCGCTAAGCAGCTGGGCTCAGGGGGCCCTACTGTGCAGAGAGGGAGAGGGCAGAGGTGTGACAGAGGGAGAAATGGCCGCTGGCGAGGGCCGAGGGCAGGGAGAGGGCCAAGAGATGGAGCCTGTAGGGACCAGGAGGACTGGCCGTTCCTGAGGGGAAGGGGCAGACAAAGCACGTGTGAAGCAGAGAGAGAAACTGTTCTTCAGCCGGCCTTATTGTGTCTGTTTTGGGTTGTGGGCCACACCCAGAGGTGCTCAGGACTGACTCCTGGCTGAGCTCAGGAATCCTTCTCAGGGGCTCAGGGGACCATACGGGTAGCAGGGATCGAACCTGGGTCAGCCGCCTGCGAGGCAAATGTCCTCCCCTCTGGGCTGCCTCTCTGGCCCCTGCCTATGTTATGGGATGCACCATCAGTCCTCTCTGGATGTGGGGTGCAGGGGGACCTGCGGGACAGCTCTTACTGCCTGAGGGTTCTCCCTGCTCCGTCTGTGCTCCAGTGCCGGACACGCCACCCCCAGAGCCAGGGAGCCCAAGCGCCTTTCCTCCCTCTCCACCCTGGCACCTCACGGCCCCTCCCCGTATGTCCTGCCCACAGCCCCCAGGGCAGCAGCCCCTGTACCTGCGCACCACGTCCAGCTTGTCCAGGAACTCATAGACCCGGGCGTGGTAATAGTAACATTTGGCGGCCACCAGGTCCAGGGCCCGGCGGTTCTGAGCACTAATCTTCTGCATCAGGTCGTCAGAGACCTTCTGGGCCTGGGGAAGCAGACAAGAGGCCTTCAGAAGGTGAGTTCTAACACTGCTGACCAGGGCAGCTGTGGCCAGGAGCCCCTCTGAAGGAAAGCCCAGAGAGGTGGAAAAGTGTCTGCTACAGCTTCACACCCACTGCAAGGAGACCCTTGTCAGGGCTTTGCATCCGAGGCCTGCCCGTCCACGGGGGCACAGAGTGCCAGGACCCACCTCAGCACAAAGCAGCCTCAGAAACGGAGAGTGCTCACACGCACAGCACACAGCTGGCAGGTGCAACACCCCAGGTCCACCCCGCCACCGCGCAGGAATCCCCTCCCAGCTTAAAAAAAAATGACATAAAGTCAAAAGAAGCCAGGTTTGAAATGCCGCAGGTCACGTAATGAGCTGGAAGATCTGTGAGACATAAAACAAGACAGGTGGCTTCCAGGTCGCAGGAGAACAGGAAGTGATTACAGAGCATATACTTTTTTGGATTAAAAGTTTCTGGCATTACATGATGGTGGTCTCACAATCTCTTGAATAGAACAAGACCTTATGAATTAAACACTTCTTTGGGCAGTGATGGTGTGGGGCATGCCCAGTAGTGCACAGTCGGGGCTTACTCCTAGCTCTGTACTCAGGAATCACTCCTGGTGAGGCTCAGGGGACCTTACGAGGTGCAAGGCAAGCGCCCTCCCTGCTCTGGTTCAGAATGACACCTTCTGTGGCCATACTGGCAGTGCCTGGAGGCTTTTTGGCCCTATGACCACGTGGTGCCAGAAATTAGCCCGGGCCTTCTGCATGTGAGCACATACTCTGGCCTGCTGAGCCCTCCTGGGTACACTCTAAAGGGGGTAAGTCACATCTGAACGAAACAGACAAGGAGACCAGCCAATGGGAGGGAATGGCAGAAAGGAAAGGAGGAAGCAAGGATGGGCCTGTGGCCTCCTGAGTGTGCTCCTAGGACAGCTGCTCTGGTGACTAAGAAGTTGGTCCAGGGGCTGGAGCAATAACACAGCATGTAGGTCATTTACCTTGCACATGGCCAACCCGGGTTCGATTTCAGCAACCCATATGGTCTCCTGAGCACCATCAGGAGAGTGCAAGAGCCAGAAGTAACACCTGTGCATCGCCGTGTGTGACCCCCCCCCCCCCCTAAAAAATGCAGGGCATTGGGTTGCTGGGTCTGAGGTGTTTACAAAGGACTGGAGCACATGCTGCACATGCTTCACACGCAGGAGGCCCCGCACCGATCTTCAGTACCACATGATCGATCCCAAGTACTAATGAGAGTAAGCCCGGAACAGAGCTGGGTGTGCTCCTCAGCCCCCCAAGAAAAAACAAAATATCCTGGAAAAGGGCTGGAGAGTTAGTACAGAACAGAAGGTACTTGTCTTGTACATGGCCGACACTGGTTTGATCCCTGGTGCCACATAAGGTCCCTGGAGCAGTGCCAGGACTAATTTCTGAGCATTTCAGGATGTGACTCAAATTCCCCCAAACAAAATTCTCAGAAGTTACTCCTAGCTCTGTGCTCTGGAATCGCTCCTGGTGGTGCTTGGGGCACCACATGGGATGTCAGGGATTGAACCCAGGTCGACTGCATGCAAGACAAGCCCCTGACATGCTGTACTACCACTCCAGCCCGAATTCCAATAATAACCATGCTTGGGGACACTTTCCTGCCCTGGAGAGGTCGATCTGCCTGAGACACAGTGGGGACCTGAACCCAGGTCTGTCTCTGAACCCCTCACTTTTCCCATGAGGACGCACTATGCTGGCACTGGGCCCCAGACAAGTACAGGACAGCCACCGCCAGCCCTTCCCACAGCACCCAGCAGCAGTCAAGAGGCTCGTCGTCAGTAGGTAAGGGAGAGTCGGGGAGGATTAATAACCCTGTGATCACTGCCCCTCCCTCTCTCTCCCCAACCCACCTCCTTGTAGCGCTTGCTGTTCATCAGGAAGATGACCATGAGGAGCTGCAGGTACGCTTCCACTTCAGGCAGGAGGGGAGTGGACGCGGCTTTCCCTGTCCGGGGACGGAACTGTAAATCAGCTTCCGTATCCATGGGCTAGGAGAGAGAGCAAGTTATCAGGGAACAGCTCAGATCAATCAGCCAAAGATCAGAGAAGCACACTGACTCACTGCCTAGCTCAACAAACGCCGCCGACGCCGTGCTGAGGATGCTCTAGTGGTGGGGATGCAGAACTAAGAGTGACCATTTCTTTTCGACAGGAGTCCAGGAGACACCGTGCGCGCTCACAAAACAAATGAGGACAAGGAGGACTTCTCTCCTTCTCTCCCCTCGGGGCACAGACTACAAGCCCGGAGGGCTACAGGGGCATGGAGAAGGCTGGAGAGGCAACGCGGGAACAACTCTCTCCGGGGAAAGGGCTCCTCCGCAACCAGTGCTCCCTGCATGCCGACTGTTTGCATCTCTATAAGCTACTTCTCAGTCCCTGCTTCCCCCGCTCCCTTTGCCCTTCATCACATTTGCCAAGTGAAGAAATGGATGCCTGAAGAGGTCACTCTGCCCAAGCCCTGAAGGTCCCAATGGCGGAGTGAGAGTCCCAGCCAGTCTCACCCCCCGACCTGCACTCTCCTCCACGGCCGCATCAGCTGCCTCCTCCCCACTGATGCTCTGGCAGCAAAGAGAGGGAGCACCTTCTTGCAGGACAAAGGGGACAAGGGGGTGGTCTGTGCTGGAGGAGTCAGAAGAGTGTTTGCCTCGGGGGATCTTGAGTCTCAGCCCCTCTTGAACTCAGAAGAACCCGAGCCCCCCAAGCCGAAAGACAATTTTCCTTGCTGGTGAGCAAATGCGTATTAAAACTGGTTTCTCAGGGGCTTGCTCCCTGGGCACGGTTTGAATCCCAAGAGCAAATATAACACAACGGTGCCTTTGCCTCACTCCTCAGCTCTGGCAGGCTCGACGGTGACATCCAGGGACACTGAGGCCAGCACACACTCACCTCCTCCAGGAAGGGCAGCAGGAAGTCTCGAGTGGTGTTATTGGAGGTGAAGAAGCCGTGCACGGCCTTATACAGGACATAGTGGTTGAGGCGGCGGGACGTGGAGGGCAGCATCCGCAGGGCGCGCAGCACAAAGCGGGGCTCCTTGCCGGAGACAGCCTTCTCCAGCTGCTTCACGTGCTCCTTGATGTCTGCCAGGGCCAGAGGGGAAAGCACGCCATTACTTCCAAGGCTCCCGCTCCCCCAGCCGGGAGTGCTCAGGAGTCCTCCACAAAGGGGCAGAATATGGGGGCCACCTCGCTGCCCTTTCTTGGGGGGGGGGGAGAAGAGACTGGTTTCCAGAAGGCCTGGGGCTCCTGCTGGTGATTCTCAGTCAAGTGTGGTTTAATGAGAGCACATAGACATGGTGCTGAAGTGGCAGGACTGTCTGCCCACCCCCGCTGTGCCTTAGAGGAGGTCGGGGTTAGAGCTGCTCCCGGAAATACTCAGGGATCACTGTCCTGGTATCCAGGGCTGACCGATGCATCCTGACCCTTTACTTGCTCTCTAGCCCCCACGTCACAGCTTTGGCCCCAACACGGCCTGGAGTGTTAGTACAGCGGGAGGGCGCCTGCCTGCACTATCCTGGTACTCCATATAGTCTATCCTGGGTTCTATCCTGGTACCCCAAATGGTACCCTGAACCCACCAGGAGGGATCCCTGAGCACAGCCTAGTATCGCTCAAAACCCAAAAAATAAAAAAGCAGTGATTTAAAGTCAAAACTGAGAAATCAAAAAACAAAGCTGAGTGAAAGGGTACAGTAACAGAAAATGAGAAATAAAACAAATACATAGTGTATTACTAGAGCTCTAAATAGACTGTCCAATGCAAACAAGGGGGGGGATCTGTACAGGCACATGAAAGATCCATGACACTGAAAAAAATAACTTCCTGAGGAATCAGAGACATAGTACAGCAGTAAGGGATTTGCACTGCACCCGGCTGACCCTGGTTCAATCCACCCCCTAGGGTTCCCTGAGCAATGCCAGGAGCGATCCCTAAGCAAACCCTTGTGGGCAATCAAGAGTCACGCTTTTACTTTTACCACTGCCCCCCTCCCACAATAAAAAAAGAGAAAAAAAACAATCAAACATGATATTTACTCATACCTGTTCCAACTTTATTTCACTGTGTTTATTTTTGGGTCATACCTGGCTGTGTTCAGGGTAAGTAACAGTGAACAGACAAGGCAGGGAGAGCACATGCTCTGCACCACAGGGGCTCAGGGCCCACCTCCCATTGCTACATATTGCCCCAGCACTGCTGGGTGTGGCTCCAAAGCCTTCCCCCCCACAAAAAAAACCCAAATAACAAAACACACATGGACCAGGGACAGAGCGAGGTGCAGGGCAGCACCTGCTTTGCACCCGAAGGACACAGTATACTTCCCAGCACTGCAGGGCCAAGTGGAGCAGGGGGGGCTCTGGAGGCCTCCAAGCACCAACAGCTGTAGCCCTGGTCATCCCAGGCACCACAGGCCCTAGCGTTTGGCCATCCAGCCCAGCAGGTGGGTACCACCAGGAGTGCCTCCCCTCCAGTAAATGACAAGGCCCAAGGGCCAGGGCACAGGCTTTGCATGGGGGCTCTCTAGGTTCAATCCCAGGACCACACGGGTCCCCAGCCTCACGGGCTTTATGTCCCAGAACCCCACGGTCTCCAGAGACATAGCCCTGGTGGTTGCCAGGACCACTGCACCCCTCCCACAGAAAAAGGAAAAAAACACCCAAACACGATATTCACTCATACCTGTTCCAACTTTATTTCATTGTGTTTATTTTTGGGTCATACCTGGCTGTGCTCAGGAATCACTCCCGGTGGGACTCAGGGGAGCATGGGGGTGTTGGGGGGATGGAACATGACTTAGCCTCCCGCTGTTCTGTCCCAACTTTATAAACTGACTCAGGAAGGGCTGAGCAGCTCAAAAAAAAAAAAATTCACATGAGGAAAATGTGGTCAGGGTTGAATTTTTCCCTCCTATTATTTTGGACTGCCCATTTCCCCAAAATTTCTATAATGAACATGAATTGCTTTCTAGTAAGAAAGTAAGAAGTCTCCAGAGTGATAGTATAACAGGTAGCATGTGGCTGACCCGAGTTTAACTCCTGGCCCCCATATGGTTCCCTGAGCCCGGCCTGGAATGATCCCTGAGTGCAGAGCCAGAAGTAACCCCTGAGCATCACTGGGTGTGGCCCCCCCAGCCGAAAAATAAGAAAGGGTGTTTATATAAAATACCTCTATCTCCCCAGTAGGAACTGCTAAGGGGCCCCTTTGCCACCAGCTTACGCTGGTTTCTTTAGAGAAAAGCATCTTTATTAGATGCTGGTTCTGTTGTCAACTTTGGAGCAAGACCTGATGCCCTGAAATACTATCTGAGAGCTCTACCTCACTCCTGTCAACATTTTATGATATTTCTGTTGTTTTGGTTTGGGGAGCACTCCCAGCTTTGTATCTGGAACTGGCAGCCAAGGGGTCTCGGACCCCAGGCTCAGCCTGCAAAGCCTGTGCCCTGGCACTTCCCTGCCTCTCCCGAGGATTCCTACCTGCCTTAGTGTTTCCCAAAGTGTGTGTGTGGGGGAGGGGAGTCAACACCGCCCGCTGGAGGGTGGACACAACTGGGAGGGTCTCTGCTTATAAAGACGAGGTGCAATCAGCGGCAACACTAACAAATGGGTGGATCTCTGCTTTGGTCTCTTAAGCAGGTAAGCAGACATGAGACTCCGCCAAGTTTGCTTGTTTTTAAGTCTGTTTTGGGGCCACCCCCGCATCCCCCCCCCCTGCGGTGCTCAGGGCTCACTCCTGGCTGGGATGTGGGGCGGGGGGTGGGGGCCTGGGGGGGGGGGTTGGGTTCGGAGCAAGTGCAAGGCAAGCGCCCTACCCGCTGTACTATACAAAGTCGGTGCTGCTGGATCCGGAACCGGGGAAACTGCCCCAGGGTCACACCGGGAGGCTCCAGCCGCGGGCGGGATGGTCTACGTGGGAAGAGTGAAGTGAGAACTTGGAGGAAACCAGCAAAGCTACGGGGGGCGGGGGGCAGTGGGACTCGGGGCGGCCAGGAGCGCAGCGGCGGGGCACCGATGGGTCACGGTGGTGGTGGTGGGGGGTGGAGGAGTCGGAGGGTGACGCTGGGCACCCGGAGTCACTGCACCATACAGCGACGCGGTAGGCGCCAAGGCGGGTCTGGGCACCTCGGCCCTGGCCCTGCCGGGAGGAAGGAAGCGGGACGCGAGGCGAGGATGCTGCTCGCCCGGTCCTAGAACTCGGGGGCCGGGCCTGGGCGTCATCCTGGGCGTCATCCTGACCGTCCCTTCCCCCGGACCCTCGAGCCCCGCACAGACACAGACCCCGGGTGGTTGGCGGCGCAGGGGGGGAGTTAGGGGAGGAGGAGGCCAGGCCGGGCCGGGGTCCGGGTGGGAGCAGAGAAGGGAGGGGGGCGCGCAGGCTCTGCGGGGGTCCCCGGGAGCGGCTGGACCCCCGGGGCTCTGTCACCGGGCCCCCGAGCACCCCCCCCCCCGGCCCGGGTTGGGGGGGTCTCCTACCCTCCAAGGTGACGGTGTCCAACTCGCGCTGGGAGTGCTCGGCCGCCGCCGTGGCCGCCTTGCCGTCGGCGTCCCCGGTGGAGCCCACGCCCGGGGTCGCCTCCTCCTTCATCTCCACGTCCTGGGGGGCTGGGGGCGGCGGCGGCTCCTGTTCGCCTCCGCCGGGCGGCGGCTTCGACTTGTCGGCGCCGCGGCGCCGCGCCGAGCCCTCCTGTTTCATGGCGCCCGGGGTGGCGGCCTTGTCCGGGGAGCGAGGCCGGGGCCTCGCGTGAGCCCTCGCGCCGGAGACCAGGAACCGAGCCGGGCCTGCACACGAGCGCGGGCTCGCTCGCCTCGGGCCGCACGATGACGGAGCAGCTGCAAACCCCCTTCGCGGCGCGGGGCCTTCTGGGAGGCGCCAGGCCCGACTGGCCGAGGGCCGAGGCCGCCCAGGGGAGAGAAATCGACAGCCGGAGCGCAGGATGGCGGCGGATGGCGGCGGGAGGACGGGGCGGAGCCTGCCCGGCCCCCGGCGCCTGCTCCCCGGGCGCTCGGGCGAGCCGCGCCGCGCCGCGCCCCGGCCGCTGCATTCCCCGGCACGGCCGCCAGGGGGCCCTCCGGCTCCCACCCGCCTTTCCCCAGGGCCCCGGGCGGGGTGACGTCACGGTCGCCGGGCGCCTTTTGGCTCCCTACCGGCCCCGTGTGTCTCCCCGGGTCTTGGCGTCGCTTGGCGGACCCGCGAGGCTCGGACCTCAACGGCCATCTCCCGGCCGTCCCGCGCGAGGGAGAGAAAAGCAAGTCTCGAAGCCCGGCTGCGGGGCCGAAAGCCGGAGGGACGTCCGCTTGGAGCCGCTGCGGCCCGGCTGGGTGGGGAGCGCGGGAGCGTGCATTTGTGTGCAATCGCCCCGGATCAATAAAACGGTTAACGCGTCCAGGTGGCGGGGTGGTCTTCCAAAAGCAGCCCCAGAACGTAGTGCCGAGGAAGCTCTGCCCCAGACGTGTGGAGGGAGCTTTCTCACGGGCTTTTTGAAATACATGCAGGTGGGCACTGTAATTGAAGGCGAGGACGGAATGTTGGTGTACCTGAGCACTGGTCACAAAATCTCCCAGGGGAAAGAATTGGGCCAGAGGCACACACGGTGCGTGTGTGTTCATCCGTCTATCTACAGAGAGAGAGAGAGAGATGGGCACAAGCTGTGCGGTACCCTGGATCTAAGTGCGGGGGTGGTGGTGGGTCGCCGGCATGCAAAGCACACGTGCTCCAGCTCTTTGTGTCATTTGTGGTCCTCCGTTTAGTAATTTAAAAGAATCTTACAGGGGCCAGGAGAGATAGTATAGGGGTAAGACACTTGCCTTGAGTGCAGTTATTCTGGCACTGCCAGGAAGAGCCGCTGAGAGCACTGCCAGGGGTGGTCCCAAAACAAATAACAAATCTCAAGAGAATTTAGGTTTCCCTTCCCTCCCCTCCTCTTCCTTCCCTTTTCCTCTCCCTTCCTTTCTTTTTGCCATACCCGGTAGTGCTCAGGGATCACTCGTGGTGGGCTTGGGGAACCATATGAGGTGCCAGGGATGGAATGCAAGGTGAGTACCCTGCCCGCTGTACTGTGTCCTGGGGGGCCTTTCCTGACTCAGTGCTCAGGAGACAGTATGTGGTGTTTGGGGCCTAAGTGGAATCAGCTGCATGTAACCTGAGACAGTGCCTCACCTCCCATACTGTCTGATACTGTCCGATACAGCCCAGCTGTAATGACAAATAAGAAACTGTATGTACTGAGAATTATCACTGTCACTGTCCTCCCGTTGTTCATCAATTTGCTCGAGCGGGCCCAGTAACGTCACTATTGTGACAATTGTTACTGTGTTTGGCATATCGAATATGTCACGAGTAGCTTGCGAGGCTTTGCCGTGCCAGTGAGATACTCTCGGTAGCTTGCCGTGCTCTCCGAGAGGGGCGAGGAATCGAACTCGGGTCAGCCATGTTGGCAGCTTGCAAGGCAAATGCCCTACCCACTGTGCTATCACTCCAGCCCTACTGAGAATTATGAAACGGTAATGAGAATTGAGAAAATATGACAGGGACTGGGAAACTGAAACTGATCCCCTAAGTTAAACAAGAGAAGGGAGGGAGAAGCATTCCTTTTATGACCCCAATCAGCCGAGTTAAGGACCTACCAGCCTACCAGGTTGATGGGAGCACACTGGGCCTGACAGATTTATGGGCGTGCATGGGAGATGGTACTGAAGGCTGCACCAAATGGGCAAGAAATGTTGACACTGAATGTTTTCCTTTTGGGCGCCTAAAGGCCATACCATGTGGGAACGATGCATTGATTGATTTTCTTTTGCTTATTACTTCTGTATCCCCTGTTTCACTGATACTAATATATGTAGACTGTAGCCTTTTGAGGACCTTCTCAGCAAATGGCGCTCCAAATCTCTCTTCTGACTTGGGGTCCTCAGCACTGAGCTTCATATAAACTCACTATCCTCTCCTGAGCTCTGTCTGTTCATTTGCGGCTCGCACCTGCACAACACAGCTCCTGGTTTCTTAAGAGAAAAATTGAAAGTTTTTTTTGTTTCCTCATTCATTTGCCTTGCATGCAGTCGACCCATGTTGGATCCCAGGCATCCCCAAAAGATCCACCAGGATTGATTCCTGAGTGCAGAGCTAGAAGCAACCCCTGAGCATTGCCAGATTTGATCCAAAAAGCCAAAAATAAATAATAAATTAAAAAAAAAACCTAAAAAGCCAAGTTAGGCCCATTGTAAGGTCCTCGAGGCCAGAGGGTATGCTTTGACTGAATCCTGCTTTATTTTTATTTTGGTTTTGGGATAACACCCTGCATTGTTCAGGGCTTATTCCTGGCTCTGTGCTCAGGGATCATTCCTAACAAGATTCTGGGGACCATATGGGGTATAGGGGATCAAATCTGGTAAGATGCACGCAAGGCAAAGGTCTTAACCATTGTACTATCTCTACAGATTGCTTTCCACTCTAGTTACCTTAAGAATGTTCTACATATTCTTTATATCTCCTTTGCATGTTATTGCAGCAAATAGCGTCTTTTTTTGGTTTTTGTTTTTGGGGTCATACCCGGCAATGCTCAAGGGTATGCACTCAAAAATTATTCCTGGCAGTGCTTGGGGACCATATGGATGAGATGCTGGGGGTTGGCCATGTGCAAGGCAAATGCCTTACCTGCTATACTATCACTCTGGCCCCAGCAAGTAGCTTCTTGAACTAAAGACCTATTTGTGGTACTGGAGAGATAACACAGCAGGTAGGATGCTTGCTTTGTGTATGGCTAATCAGGATTTGATCCCCGGCACCCTATATGGTTCCCCAAGCCTGCCAGGAGTGATCCCTGAGCACCGCTGGGTGTGCCCCCCAAACAAAATGAGAGACAGAGACAGAAAAACAACGGGGGGGGGGAAGGAATTGGAGAGAGAGAGGGAGAGGGAGCTGTTATTTGCTGAATGGAAAATGTGTGTCTTGGTGTTAGGGAACATGCTTTGGCCAATTCCTTCCTAACTGCCTCCCTACCTGTAGAGGTGGGAGATGAGTAACAGAATTTTTGAATCATGCTGGAATAAATGCATTAAAGCCTCTTCTTTTTTTAAAAAAAAATGTTTTTTTTAATCGAATCACCATGAGACACAGTTACAAAGCTTTCATGTTTGAGTTTCAGTCATATAATGATCTAACACTAATCCCTGCACCAGTGCACATTTTCCACCACCAATGTCCCCAGTATCCCCCCATCCCACCCATCCCCCTGCCTCTATGTCAGACAATCTCCCCCATACTTTATCTGCTTTTGAGCATTATGATTTGCAATACAGATACTTGAGAGGCTATCACGTTTGGTCCTTTATCTATTTTTAGCACACATCTTCCATCCTGGGTGATCCCTCCGACCATCATGGACTTAGTGATCCTTTCTCTATTCCAGATGCCATCTCCCCCAGCTCACGAGGCAGGTTTCCAACTATGGAGCAATATTCCTGGCCCTTTGTCTACTGTCCTTGGGTGTCAGTCTCATTTTATATTCTACAAATGAGTGTAGTCATTCTATGTCTGTCCCTCTCTTTCTGACTCATTTCACTTAGCATGATACTCTTCATGACCATCCACTTATAAGCAAATTTCATAACTTCATTTTTCCTAACAGTTGCATAATATTCCATTGTATAGATGTACCAAAGTTTCTTTAACCAGTTGTCTGTTCTCAGGCACTCGGGTTGTTTCACTGGCTATTGTGAGCAGTGCTGCAGTGAACATACAGGTGTAGATGTCATTTCTACTGTGTTAAAATCTCTTCTTCATAGTCCCGCATTTGTGACTAAAGGTTGGAGAAAGGCAGGAAACAGAAGGGCCTTTGTTGTTCATCTTAAAGAACTCACTTCGGGGTCATTGGGAAGTCAGCTCAACTCTTTAGAAAGTTTTCATCAGAAGAGAAAAACAGTCAGCTCTGTCCTTGAGCAATATATGGAGGCCTTGGATGGTGCCCAGAACAGGGAAGGGTGGCTTAATGCAAAGTTTTGGCTGGTGGTCATGGATTTTTTGGTGAATGAAGAGAAATTAGCCTGGGAAAGGGGGGGGGGATCAGGAGGGGAGAGTCTGACTTCTGGGCCAAAAATCTTGGATAAATTATTCTACACCTACAATTATTTTTTGTTTGTTTTTTGTTTGGGGGCCACACCAGGCGATGCTCAGGGCTTACTCCTGGCTCTGTATTCAGGGATCACCCCTGACAGGGCTCAGGGGACCATATGGGGTGCTGGGGATTGAACCCGGGTCAGTTGCATACAAGGCAAATGCCCTTCCTGCTGTTCTGTTGTTCCAAATCTCTACACTTAAAAGTATTTTAGGTAAAAGAAATAACTTTTCTTGGCACAGGGGATGAAAACCAGGTTCTCACACATGTGAAACCTGTGCCCTGCCACTGAGTCATATTCCCTGCTCCATATGATTATTTTATTTTTGTTTTGTTTTGTTTTTTTGCTTTTTGGGGTCGCACCCAGCAATACAAGGGGTTACTCCTGGCTCTGTACTCAGGAGTTACTCCTGGCGGTGCTCAGAGGACCATATGGGATGCTGGGATTCAAACCCAGATTGGCCGCATGCAAGGCAAACGCCCTACTCACTGTGAAAGCCCCCATATGATTATTTTATTTATAGTAAATGAGCATCAGAATAATTTATTTTGAGGTGTCAAATCCCAGCTTGAAGGGCTGGAGTGACAGTATAGTCGGAAGAATGTTTGCAGCCAAACTGGGTTTGATCCTCAGCATCCCATAAGTTACCTAAGGACTACCAGAAGTAACCCCTGAGCATCACCATTGGATGTGGCCCCCAAACAAACAAGCAAAAACCAAACAAAACCTAGCTGAGGTAGAAGAGGGTATGAATGAATTAGCAGTTTGATGAAATTATCATTTCTATATTAATAGGATCACATGCCAAATC